TCTTTGGTTTTCTGGATCTTTAAGCTCCAAAAACACTCTTTTACTTTTAATCTTCCTGCCAAATTTTTTTGGTCAAAATAAATCTACAAGCTTCTATCTTGTTTGGAGTGAGCCAGTCATTCCTGCCATGGGCTTTTTCATCCAAATAAATCCAGAAGTTACTCGTAAATTTTTTTGATTATATCGGTTAACAAAGCAAGGTTAAATAATGATTTGAAAAAACAAAAAAAAAAAAAGACGCGTCACATAAAAGTAGAACAGGTGTTCATAAATTTCCTAAAAGTAGATCAGGTGTTCATAAATTTCTCACCTCCTGCTAACATCGCCAATTCACTCGCGCCTCTTATCCAGGATCTGCCTCCAGAGCAACATGACGCACAAAGTCTAAAAAACCAAAGCCAGCTGTCATCACCAGAATTTTTAAGGGATTTTCTTTAATATAAGGTAGTATTGATACGCAAAAATCCTCGAGGGATTCTTTTTTATATAAGATAATATTGATATGCAAAAATTCACAATGATATGTATTCAAGTCATGGAATGTGATAATCCGTGGAACCATAAATTTAACATCATTGAGTGATCTTTATTCATTCATTAATTAAAAGATTTGAAAAACTCAATATCCGTTTTAGCTTATATACATATAAATATAAAAACGGATATATACTTTATATTCTTGACATTGTCAAGATTTTTATGGCACCATAATTGAACGTGATCTTTTTATATGCATTTCAATTATAATTCCATAGTATCTTCTTTGAAGATCTCTTACAAGTGTTATAAGCATGGTGGATATATTAAATAGAAATGCATTTTAGCTTGCATATATACATGATCATAATCATTATATTAATAATGCATACACTTATTACCCAAACTATAAAGTATATAACAATACTCTAAATAAATCTCATATAGACAACATATTAAAATAGCAAATATATATTACTATTTCTCTAGCTTTTTCCAACTAAAACATAATCTCATGGTTTTAATAAATTTAACCATATTTTTGTAAATTTTTTATTTAACAATTAGCAGAGTAAATATAAAGTCGTACTTATTCAAGAACTAAAATTTTAATCATAAAATTGGATTCAAGCAACAAAATCAAATAATGAATTAATGATATATTAATTTTGAATAAAAATTAAAAAAAAAAAAAAACTTATTTGATATCACGATAGAGAAATATTTCTCTTTATCCATAATATTTCAAGAATTAGGATTTCACTAATTCTTTTCTAAATTTCTTTCTCTTGCATCTTCATAAATACGAAATATAACAATTTTTTCATAATTGCTTTTAATTTGTTAGAAAAAATAAATAAGAGAAGAGAAATAATAAAAAATAATTTTAGCTTTGAGATGTAAAATATATTCTTTTAAAATAATTATACATTTATGATACAATAAAGTCTCAAAACTCTCCAAATAAAAATAGTAAAAATAGTTATATTGAAGGATCTATCTATAATGAATGAAAAGATATAAATTTTTATTAAAATGATTATGATCTTTTGTATAATTATGATTTTTATAAATAATAATATATTTATATTTAAATAGTTATGACCATTTATCATATAACAATTATTTTTGTTTAAATATAATTATTTATAATATAAATAAAATTAATACAAAAATTAATTTTATTCATCAATAATTAAATTTTTTTATCTAATATAAGATAAATCATATTTTAAATTACCAACAACAACACTTCCTCATCTGACGGACTTTAGTTTGATGATTCAGAAGTGGATGGCAACAATACAAAATTATTTTTCCTTTCAACTTGGCTCGTTTTGCTATTTTTGTTGTTTCCTCCTAGTATCACAATTGTCTGGAAATTCTTGATTTGTCGGCAATTGGGTTATGTGCTTCAAACGGGTCGGACAATTGTTTTTTCCTCTGAAATTTTTAATTCCAGGTCAAGGAGAGAAAAAGAAAAAAAAAAAAAAGAAACTTTGAAATTGATGAATCACAAAGGAAATAATATATAACGTATCTTGTGGGGGTGCAGAGTGAGTGAGGTCTGTGTGAGTTACCCAAACCTAAAGCATAGGAACCTCCAACCCCAAATAAACTGCTAAACTTGGACTCTACGAATTTGGAAATTTGACAAAAGTTTAAATTGTTTGACCATCTATATCTGCAAATAATATATAACGTATCTTGTGGGGGAGGAAAGTGAGTGAGGCCTTTGGAAGTTGCCCCAACCCCAAATAAACTGCTAAACTTGGACTCTTATGAATTTGGCAAATTGACAAAAGTTTAAATTCCATCTACATTTGCACTGAGTTTGAGTTGTCCACATTCGTGATTTTTGTCAAACAACGGAGCGTAATTGAAGCTGATGATGAACCAGAATATATCATGGTTCCAAGCAATAGGATAATTTATATATTTATGTAATATAAAATATTAAAATTTATATATTTATATCGTATTTTATATCAAAATTATATATCAAAATTTATGTTGATACAAAATATAAAATTTTATTAATTTTATTAAATTTATATATAATTATTATTAAAATTTTAAATCATATTTTTTTATTGTATTTATATTTTAAATTGTAAGTTTTCTTGCTGACCTTTGAACTAGTTAGATATTATCTATAAAATTTTCATTCATAGACACTCATTTGAGAAAAAATTAGTGGAGTGGCAAAAGCCACAACAGCGTTATTTGTAGTTTCACAAAAAAATCCAGTTGCACGCTTTTTTGTTATTGAATTTTGATTGTTGAAACTGAAGGTTTATTACCACATCAACATACCGCTATAGAATATTAGCATCTAGTTTACGCGTTAAACATGGATTAAGTTCCTCAAATTGAAGTTTTAGTGGTCCACTTTCCAGATTTTTTCAGCAATTGAGAGCAGCTTATCATGGCTCTCAACGTCCCGCTGACCTGTTCAACTAGCTAGCGACGTCCAGTGTCAAGGGACGACAGCATTATCTCCGGTCTCACGAACAAATTGTACGTGATGAAGAATTGTCTTCAAAGTTGGAAAATATACATATCTACATTTTTTAATAGCTTTCTTCCGAGTCATTTTGTTCTGCAGGCCCACTATCTAAATTTCGTGGGAAATTTTGAGAAAAACTGGGTCGGTATCGGATGGATGGGTATGGACCTATATATACCGTGCGTTTAACATTGTTTCTTCCACCAACAAATAAAATGTTTTCTAACAAGCTTTTACTACTCTTCGCCCAGGTTCTCTTAGTTGTTAGTATTCTCCTTCTAGGCTCAGCCATGGCGTCTAGGAACGTCGGAAGGACTGCCGTGCCTTGTAAGCATTCTAGCCTGGCCAAGCTTCTTAAGTATTTACTTCATTTCCTGGCCTAGAATTTTATTAATATATATATATATATAATATATATATAGGTAGTTGAGATATCATAACATGTTTAAATTATGCTATGTTTATATGCATCTACTACTTTTTCTTTCTATGCTAATTAATCACCCTCTATGCTCATTAATTCAAGCGACTGATTAAATATTACTTACTGTATATAAACAAGAAAGAAAAATGAGAAAGCAGTTTTACAGCCCTCGGTTGCTTTCCCAACTATATAAATGTATGGTATTTTTATTTTTAAATTTAGGTGTTTGTTATTTATTTATTTATTTATTTAGAGGTTAAATTTTAGAAAGATATCCGATTAAAAGAAATTGATAAGCGATGAAGTGACTTCAGTTATATTTATGTGCTCAAAATATTTTAATTTAATTGATGTGAGATTTCTTTTATTTTCAGTTCAATATAGGAATTCAAATTAATCAGCAGATAATTAATTGACAATTTTTTTTTAATTTATTGGTGCTGATCTTACAGACGATAAATTCAAATGGAAGTATCCCCGTAATGATGTTCCCTGGGATCACCGTTATGCTAGAAAAAGAAATGGTCCATAACCTGCTGATGAATATTGTTAAAAATAAAAGTGTAGCACAGATGGAGTGGATAAAAAATGGGGAGCTGAGGCTGATCCACTTCATTTAATTTCTACGTTTGCCTGGCCTCTGCTTCAACATCTAGCATTTGGTTTGGTACTTAAGTTGCTGTAATAATTTGGTAGATATTGCTGCAGTAATATTGAAAGTAAAAGTTTCTGTGTACAAACTAGCGATTCCATAAATAAAAAACGTGACCTTTTAGTAAAGCGTATGAATAAAGTAAAGCGACTTTTGAGTTGCTTTTGTAAATACAACTGGAATGATAATGTCGGGACCCTAACTGCTCCAGGTTTTGAATTGGTCCATCACACCCCAAAAAAAAAAAAAAACCGTTACAAAATAAGAACAGTACGGGCTTTGCCAGAAGAGGAAGTTGAGAATTTGGTTAGCCTGCAATAGATTTATGGTAGGGGGGAGACAATGTTCTCCGGTAATCCATTCCAGCCAAAATTGGATCGCATAAAGTTCACTAGCTTTATCCCTGGAGTTGCTTTCAGCATCCATAATATCTCATTCCTTCTTCCCAGCTCTGAACAGATCATCATGAAAAGGAAAAACAAAAAAAAAATGCTTAACATTATATAAAAGCACAAACAAACAACCATGCATATAAAAATCTTCTTTGGCCAAGACACAAAGTAACTACTTTTCTACTCGTCCTAAAATTCAGGCAGGTTCCAGAGGACAGTTAGATTCTCTATCTCCTCTCTCTTCTCTTATTCTCTTTTTCTTTTTCTATTTTTTTCTCAAACTCATATATTACTCTATTTCTATTCAGACTTAACAGAAACAATATTCCAGTTTAGCATAAAACTTTTATTTTTTATTTTTTGGCCAAAAACAAATTTTTTATATTTAGATACCCTTTAAAATGCATTATCTTTTACATGTATATGCTTCACAAAATTTCCAAATTATTTAAGGCGACATTCATACCTGTGATTGCATGTAACCTATTTTTCATTGGACACAAAGGGAATGCCTTGCTCAATACACTAGAGAAAGCATTATCAAGAAGTGAGTTTCTATAGCACATCAGTTTATGCTGACCAAGTAGTATAGAAAGGCAACTAGTGTTGATATTTTGCAAGATCATATCATGATACTGTATGACAGGCTAGGGTCGTAGCTAGATGCTTGCAAATGCAACCAGCTTTGGAGGAAGGACAAACATGAAAATACAAAAAGGCAATACAACGATTTAGTTGACGAGACAAATTATTGGAATTTGGAAGTTCAAAAGCTTGAACTTCCCCACAACAAAGTCTGGTAATGACAACATTCTCACCTACTCTCCTTGGATAAGTTTTAACTGTACCTAAATTTGTGGCGTATCACTCAACAAATATGATGTGTTTTTCACATGAGGAAACTTTGTGCAAAGCCAAAATACTCGCTATATACAAATTCATTGCACAATAGTATCTCACTGTCGTTATAAAGAAGAGAACAACTTTTAATATACTTTCATGGCCGAAGTGGAGAATCTAGTTGCATACTTGTCTCATTTTCCAACTAAAAACTCCTTTAAATCTAGAGCCAAATGAAACATAATGAAGCACCAATAACTCGCTTGACTGCAACTTGGAAAATCATCCGTGTTTTCAAGGTTGAAAAAGGTGTCAGATGGCAAGATCAGTTCTGGCTTTTACCATTAACAATTAGTTATCTAGTGTACCTGAAGAAGATATCCATGCAGCCAATCCAATGTCTGTGGAAATGTGGTCGCTGATACATTGACAACTGTTAAACCCTGTTCAAAGGGACGATGCACGAAAAACAAAAAAACCAGAAAGTTCATCAACACTTCAATTTTCAAACAAACCAGCCAAAAAAAATAGAGAGATGAATCAAACTACACCTCTAAAATTATGACAAGTGGAGGTAGAAAATCCCTGTTGATTTTCTTCCTCTTAAAAGAAAGGTGACACCTTACTCCACACTCTTCATACCATACTAAAAATTTTAGATGCCTAAAACGATGGGGCAATCCAAGAAATTTGAAGCATAAGCCTACAACATCAGATGGTACTACCAACAAAGGTAAATCCATGAGATTATCTTGGAGAATGCTAGATAAAACAACCACGAAGCCCCCTGTATAAATACTAATGGACAACTTAGATATGACCCACTTTCTTTATCAGAAATCTAAGAGCACGTTCACCCAAAATATGATGCTTATAATGTTTATGCCTTCATACCCCACACAGGCATAACCAACTATCTTTTCCTACTGAAACTGGTTTTACATCAAATCCAAAGATACCTCAATATGATGTTATATTGCACTAGACTTAATACACAAAAAGTTTTGATAGAAAATGGCACAGAACACACAAGAGGATACAAACAAATGTTTCATCCTAACAACCAATAGAAAGAAGCATGAGATGGCATACCCGTGACTTGAAAGAGCAAAGATAGTCTTGAATGGTCTTCAAGTTCGTTATTAGACTGTCAGTATCCTGTAATAAAAAATTAAAAAAAAAAAAGAATTTGATTTTTGTTATAAATTCATCACAAAATGAAACAGAAAAGTCAATCAAGTAATAGTTGATTAAAGGAATAAACAATGCAAGCATCACTGCAGAAGAAAGGGAACCGAGAGTAGGCAAAAGAAAAATCAAGGTATCAGCATGCCCACTTTCCACCAGAAATGACACAAATTAGGCACACATGGACGTAGTTGGAAGGCATCATCTCGTGCCCTCGTCAGACAGTCCTACTTTGATTTTGCCAATGACAGTCCTACTTGACAAAGGTATCAACACCACAACACCTCTCCAGCTTAAGAGAATTCTGGACAAATTTACCTTGTGCTAAAAATTCAAATAATTTTGTTCATAGTGAAATAAAAGGAGTGAAAAACTGCCAATATTGATACAAGGCAACTTATGACTGTACTTGAGAGGCTACGATGTTCTAGGAAAGCTAAAAGTAAAGCTTTAAAAAACTTCTCAATGATAACATCCATATTTAAGGGAAGAAAGAACATGAATTTGACTGATTTCAACCAAATTTCCAGGATCCACTTTCCACGCACCAAATGAAGCCAACATTTACTCTATATTCATAGAAATAGAATCATACTATATAACTCAGTACTTAACCAGAGTCCTTGGTTACAAAACAACTTAACAGTCAAATAATATCATCTTTCTGCCAAGTCGATAGCTACTTGAACTTTATTGTGACCAATTCAGTTCGTAATGGAATGAGAACCCCAGAAATGTTATTAATACCTGGACTAGACATTTACCACTTAAGGTCTGAGTAGTGATCCTCTCCTCTAGTAATGCCTGCATATAGAAGAAATTGTTTAGAATTTTGAAAATCATGCAGGATTGAGAAAAGAGACATTATGAGGGAGTAGGTGAAATGCAATCTAAAGGATGCCATCTTCATACTATCAAGAATAACTTTAGATGAACCTGATTATATCTTTTTAACATCAAGATAAAAATTCAGCAGTATCTTAGCTTAGACTAATTCCAGATATAACAGTCAAAAGAACCCATTGGTTTATAAATTTACATTTAGAATAGCCTATCCACAAAATGGCATCTTCCCAGAATAAGAATAGTGGAAAAAACCTCTCCGTGCTCCACTAAATGAACCATCTATATTCTTGAGAATTCAAAATCCTTAACAAGGGTTTTCTATATGTACAAATAAAGATTTCTAAGAGTATGAGTTCTATCAAAAGAGAAAGCTTTAGAAAGAGCAATCAGAAGCAACACCAAAATTTGGATCTTTGCTAAATGTGAATAGAATTGGTATCTCCTTCATATGTTTCAGTTTAGCAACTCACATCACATATTATTTACTAAAACAAAACTACAAGCTTCTCACGTACTTTGCTATTTAAAGCAGGATATATAAGAGTGAAAAGAGAAAACAACCATACTTTATGATCAAATTCAGCCATCTTCAGAACTATGGGTATTATTATTGGTTCAGGGCCAGATTTTTCTTTTCTACCAGTACTTCCATTTACTTCTGGTATGTTAATAGTTTCACCTGCATGAACACAAACATTGTTAATAAACTGTAATATTGCACCTTCACTACGCCTCTAATACTAACACATGCACATGAAACAATGCTTATAAATGGAGCTAGATGGTAGCCCAAACACAAAGAATTTAGAGCAGAAATCTACCTTTATTGTCTGAAGCAGTTGCTAGAGCAATGGACACTAGAGATTCCGAGACTTTGTTCACCTGGTCAGCAGACACATCTTCACCCAAAGGCACAGTATGGTTTTGGCTATTTTCCATATTACTTCCAGGTACACTTGAGAAATTATTCTCCATTTGCACTGTAGAAGCATTATCTGAAGCCACAAACATTGCAATCGATTGATTTCCTTCAGACATAGCAGTTGGAGTTTTATGCTCATCATCCATTAAATAAATACTTGGGTCCAAATGTATTCCCTGTTATTGACATAAGAAACAAGGAAAACTCACTTACTTCAAAGTGATACACACTAAAGCGCACAAGAACATGCCAATGCTTCTGAATCCCAAGCAATGACCAGGCGGAAAAAAATGGTACAATACTTAAGCATATTAGAACCTTCTGCAGCCAAAAAAAAAAAAAAAAAGATACAAAGGCAGTCTGCATGTTCCAGAAAGGACAGCAATCTGCAGGGTAACATGGTAGCAGATCCAACCTCACACTTCATCCCCATGAACATAATACATGTGTGACATGCATCTGTGTTCAAAGACATATAGCCATGCTCGCATAGAACATCCATTACTGCTAGATATCTTATTTTAACTATTACATTCATCAAACCACAGAAAAGAATAACTGCAAAGATCAACAGAAATCCAAGGATAGGAGCTCAGATTTGAGCTAAAATAGCTGCAAATACAACAGAAGCAAAGGGTACTGACATTGTCATGAGTACAATCTATTCATTCATGGAAAGAAGGCCATAATCTACTAGATTCCATGCTTATTTTATTGTACACCCTCAGAAATTCATGTGTCACGCCCTTTCATGACCGATGCTAAAAAATAAACAACACCTAAAACTTTACTTCCTGGCAATGATATACCACCTCATGAAATTGTATGATTTTATTTTTGAGATAGCGCTAAAATAACTTATTAAATTAAATGAATCAATGCAAAGAAATAATTAATATGAACCACAAGCACTCAAAATATAATGCACTCTATAGGCATGCACATATCACACTGTTAATTCTTGGCCCATAAGGGTGTAATGGCATCACCGTGCACTATAAAGATAAAAAAGAGAGAAGAATAAGTGGGAAGGCTCAAGGATGGAGGGTAAGGATGTTGGCAAAAGAATGTAGTCAGCAATTTAATGTCAAGCCATACCTCGATTATAATTGGCTTTCCATCTTTCATTGCCTTTTTTAGATCCCCATTCAACCCTAGAAGCCAAACAACGCAACACAAAATCAATGATGAAGATACCTTTAGAATAAATTAACAACTCTAGGAAGATGCAAAACATATGACATGCTATTTGGATGTTACATATCTCTCTGCAATCACCTGTTTTTACATGATTACAAGGAAGATAAAATTTTCATAATAGCTAGATGGAAATTTTAGAAACTACCTTTACGAACTATCCTGCATTCTCGACAAAATTCAGTAATTAACTCCTCAGAGGAGCTGAAATCCCGCGCCCATACAGGAGTGGAAGCCAATGGCGCACTGAAAGAAATAAGAGGAGTAAGCATTGTTGTACAATGTAAAAATATTAAAAGTAAGGGATGTCAGGCCAATCAGCTGCACAAGATGAATTTTCTATTGAGGACAATCTGCTTTTCCTAAGACACATGGAAAGAGAGCAACAATTAAAAACTAAGATAATAATAATAATAATAATAATAATAATAAAGGTTGAAATCCAATGCACTATTCAATATAAGGTAGTGCCTTTTCATCCACCTTTATCAGGAGTAGGAAGTGATTAGGGAAATAAACTTCTATCTTGTAACCAATAAATAGCAGAGGTGACATCTCACAATTTTGAAAACCACAACAATCCATTCTGAACCAAAGGCTCAATACCTTCCTACCACATATAAAACAAATCCTAACTGATAACATATGACTAGAACAACCAATGTCAACTGTCCTCCTTGGTTGAAGCAAGAAAATGCCTTACTGATAACCACTTTTATTTTACTTTGGAGCACTGATTTGATCTGATCAGATAATTTCTACATTGGAATAAAAATCTGAACAATACAAGAAGAGAAGAGAGTAAATAGATTCTAGACGTACTCGGTTGATGTGCGTAGCAATTCATAAACCATATCTGTCTGTAACAATTGAAAACAGAAATTTAAATGCATCAGCAAACATGAAAACAGAGTGAACAATCAAAGAAATATGAAAGAAGAAAATCTCAAAAAATTCAGTATATAAACACCTGTAAGACATTTGGCAAGTTTAGCCTATGTGCAAGTTGTGTAGCTATTGTAGACTTCCCAACACAGGCAGTTCCACAAACAAGAATCACCAAAGGAACCCTTTGATGGTGAAATCTGAAAGTAAGAAACAAGAGAAACAGTATTAGCAAAATGAAGCAACATGTAGAAGTTCCATTTATATTTTTGCTCACTACAACTCAAGGGCAAGTAATGAATCAATGAAAAATGTCCCATGCATAATCAGAATTAAAGCTATTCCAACATTACGCGTCTTTATGATCATTAAAGTAGGGTGAAGACATGCATTGAACCTAGACCTGCAATACCAGTAAATTATCTAGCATAAAAAAATGAAGATAGTTACACACAAAGGGGAAAAAACTGTTGCTACACAAATATAAGCAACCACCAATATCACATAGTTAGCAGACTTTCTTGAGGTGAATTATCTTTTGATGCCAATAAACATGTGATAAAGAAGTTAAAGTTGAAAATTTGATTCCAGAATTGCTAGCATAAAATCGTTTGGCATCAACTTGAGAAGCTATCTGACCTGGTCATCATCTTGTACCGGTTTACGTACTCTTCCCCATAACCTCGCCGCTCCATTAGCTGCACAAAGAGTTTGATTAGAAAGTTCATCCATATGACAAATTCATAAATGTTATGAAGAAATACCTTAAAAAGATTAGCTTCCAAATCAGACTGCGAGCTGCATAACAATTTGATGAATAGAACATTAATAAAAAAAAATTACTACTGATAAGAAAACGAAACTGTAACCAAAACGGAAAGAGAAGGGAATCATACACATCCAAAAGGCTGTTGTCTATAAGCAGCTTCTTGAGCTCGAGAGAGATTTTAATAGCTACATGATTTGGAATCTGAAACCACCATGTCGTAGCAATAAACATAAAACAAATAAACAAAAAAAAGTTGAAAGATATTATCATTATCAAGTAATAAACACAGAAATATAAAAATTGAAGAAAATTAAGCAATTCAAGTTGGCTTATCCAAGAATGGAATAGATACCTTTGTGACGGTTAACATTCTGCTAAGTAAAAACCTGGATAAAACATAATAGTGATCGGCATTATCTCCCAACCAGACCTTCACCTACAACGCCGAAAAAAAAAAAAGATTTTATTTAAAATTGGTTTGTTAAAAAGGATTCTCGAGAGAGAGAGAGAGAGAACCTTGACGAAGTCGTATTTGGAGGAGGCGTTGCGAGGACTGGATTTGGTGGAGGGAAGGGAGGGAGTCGTTATCTTATTGCCGTCTTCGTCTTCACCGCTGTAATTGTGGTTAGCTCTTGTTCGCACTGCAATTCCCTTGCCCTTGTTCATCATCATCGTCATCTTCTCGTATTCTCCCATTTTTCTGGTGGGATTTCAATGTTACGACCGTTCCCTCGCTTTAAAATTTGCCGCTGCCCATTTCACGGCCATATCCCCGCATCTTTGCCATCTCAGTTGTCTATTTATTTCTTTTTCAATTAAAGTTTGTACAATCCGTTAACCACCAAAAATCAATTATTATTATTATTATTATTATTATTATTATTTAAATGACAGTAATCCTCTTTTTGTTTTTTCTCTCATAATTTATCCACAAATACAAGTAGTACATTTTTCTTCTAACATGCCTCAACGAATAATATATTTACTATAATTTAAATATTTTTTTAAAATTAAAAATGGATAAAGAACACACGTTATTATTTGATTACGCAATAAGGTACAAATTTATAGCTATTATTAAATTTTTTTAACTAATGCAATTTTATTATTATATTTTTAGTTTTTAAAATAAATTTATTATTGTACTTTTAATTTAACAATAACAAAAATCTTTATTACTAGTATAATTTTGAGGGTTATTAAATGCACTCCTATCTTTTTTCTTTTACATTTGACTTTTTTTTTTAAATATTTTTCACTAAAATTACTTATTTATTCTTGCTTTTTCCTCATAAGTTTTCAAAAATATATTTTCCAAAAGTTATAAATTTGTTCAAAATTTTATTTTCAAAAAGTCATATAATCTTTCAAAAATGCATTTTTGGAAGATTATAAATTTTACCGGAAATGAATTTTTTAAAAATTAAATTTAAAAAAGGTTTATAACTTTTTGAAAATCTATTTTCAGAAAATTTTATGACTTTCCAAAAATTTTAAAACTCCAAAAAATTATAAGAAAAATAATAAAGTAATTTCAATTACAAAAAAAAAATTTTTTTGAATTGAGGTTTTAAAAGAAAAAATGCATTTAGCACCGCTCTAATTTTGAATGCTATTTTCCCAAAAAATTATCCAAGCAAAACCACCATAAACACTTGAATCCTTTCCCTGAATTTTGGCTACATTAGATGGTACTAATACAACATGTAAAAAAGGACACTGCTTGTAGCTCTAAGATGTACAAATTGTCTACAAAGATGAGGGAAAAGGTATAAAGAAAGATAAAAGGAATAATGTTAATGCTCTCTACTCTACAGAAATTCAAATTCCAGAATGTGGATGGATATATATATAAAAGAATTGTTTTACATAACAACGTGTACCAACATTTGACAGTCACATGATGAACCTTTGCCTCTGTTTGCTAACCTAGTTAGTGTCACAGACAGACCGGAAAGTGACTGAGAAAAATATTTCCATGTTAGAAGTACAGTGGTAAATCAGCCGAACCTTGCAGAATCTAATCCTTGATGCTAGAAAGTCCGCGCCTCATATCCTCTTGAAAAATTTACCGCCTCTTTTTCCCATGCCAGTTCCTACAAGACTCGATGCAAGCAGAGATTTGGCATCCGGCCTCCACCTCAACTCTTTAAGATTAGAGAATATGGTTGCAAGTGCAGGAGATATGTCACTTCCCTTTATGTGCTTGCATGATACCACTACAAGATTTTCAAGTTCCTGCCAGGAGAAAATCACAGCTTCCAGACCTTCAGTTGTCAGCAATGAGCATCCTTCTAAACGTAACAACTTCACTCTCCTGTGAGAAAAGAAACGCCCGTTAGATTTTTCGTCTTTTTTTTTGAAAGAAGATGTTGGTTATTGGAATCCAGGTTCCTAGACCTCATATTTTTCCTCTAGACCTAACAAACATTATGATCACACATTTCTGCTAGGAATCTAACCAAGCCTCACCACACATTTGAATAACCAGTTAGCCTACAAATTGTGAGCATAAAAAGCAAATCTACCTGAGGTACATGATTTAGTAGGTGGAAATTAATTAAAAAGCAATTGTAAAAGTAGATAGAACTCATAATTGGATTTATCCACTCCAGCAAAACAAGCCAACTCTACATTATTTGCACACCTGCACATTACAGTTAACATTGTACTAGACAAATTTCACAATCAATTGAGCTTTTTTACATTTCAAAATCATTTGAGCTTTTTTCATTTCAAAATCAATGGCCAGAGACTCTCATCATTGCAACAGAAAGTAACTCTTTTTTCTTTCGGGCCATATCAACAGCACAAAAGAACCGCAGAAGTGAAAATGAATTAACTCTAGATTAGTTCATAATCTAAAACATCTTCCACGAAACCACAAGCAGAGGTAAAGAAAGCAGGTAAAGAAAATTACAAAGAACAAAGTGAAAACAATCCATTACCTGCAAACACTTGCAAACCTGAACATATCATTATCCAATCCCCAGCAGCCCTGAACAACAACCTCTCTCACAGCTTCACATACTCTAAACAACGCTCTCACACTCTTCTTACTCCGCAACTGACACTTTTGCAGATGCAACCGCTCAAGAGCTGGACAAAACCCCAAATACTCATCCGGACCCGGACTCAAATCAATCCTCTTACAAGATAACAACTTCAAAGTCTTCAAATTCTCACAATAAGACAATGCAGCCAACCATCCATCATCCATTCTATGATCACAAATGGTCAATTCTTCAAGCATTAAACAACATTGCCCAATAGCTTTAATCCCATCAAAACTTCCTTCACATCCACTAAGCTCAAGCTTAACTAACCTTCCACACCCCTGAGCTAAGATAGTTAACCCAATGTCGGAAACAAATGAACTATAAAGTCCATCAACGTTTCCAACAAGTTTCAGGATTTGCAAATTCTCACACGCCGCAATCCCGCGTAAAACGTTGTCGTTACATTTATGTAACTCCAATTCTTGCAATGTCAAACATTCTTCAGCCACCGTTAACAACCCCAACTCACTGGCGTTAATTACCACTAGTCTTCGAAGATTTGGGCAGCCATTGGCAAGTGCTTGAAGACCTTTATCAACAACTTCAACAGGCAATAGACTTTGTTCCAAAAGCTTCCAATTTGAACAAAACCCAGAACTCATTTGCATCGAAACCATCCGATGAGTTAACAAAATCCCAGAATTTCGCGGCGAAAACAAACAACCGTTGAGCAAATCCACGTGGGATAAGTTGGGGAACCTCGTGATTAACCGACCTGATTCGAGAAAGTCCCAATCTAGGATCTTCAGGGACCGTACGAGGCGACCTTGGAGATTGAGCCACCGCTTGCAGACGAGGGAGTTAGGGTTCCGTTGCGAAAGGGGTAACTTTGAGAGGATTTTTAAGAGGAGCTCGTCGGATAAGAGAAGAGTTCGGTCGATGTTGGCGAAATTGGGGATTAGGGCTTGGGATTTGGGATCTTTTGAAGCTAAAGACTGAAGATGCATAGCGAAAACCACATGCTTTAATGGCTTGGTTTTTTTGAGCCAAATGTCTGACCAGCTCGGCGGTCGCTTCTTCAACGGTGAATCTGGGTTTCCCTCCAAGACCGACATCGTTTTAATCAAAGCCTTCTTGTCTGCTTTGGCTCCCGCTTCTGCTTCTGCTTGTGCCACTGACGCTTTGACCTTCTTGTCCTACTTCACAAAATTATCGTCCTTGGATTATTTTTTCCAGCAAAAGAGAGTGGATTTTCACATATCTCGGAAAAAATTGCAAGCTTTAGTGGGTTTGTTTTTCTTCAGACAGAGATCTCATTTAGTTCAGTCCATGACTTTGATGCGGCTAACGGATATCTTGAAGCGGCGGGGTCGTATTTTTTTAAAATAGCGCTTTTGGTGATGGCCTTTTGTTCTTATTTTAGATTTTGAAAATTTTTGTTGTTATCCTGAGACAACACTAATTGGATATTTGGGGGAAAACAAAGGTTTTTTTGGGAACTACAGTAGTTGGCTTTTTTTTATTATTATTATTTTCTTTGGATTGAATGAAGAGGATAGCTTGGCATCTTAAATGAACTTTGTTCGAATGATATTGGGATTAAAAATTAAAAATAACAAAAGAAAAGAGATTGGGATTATTATATTTTTTTTATATAAAAAAACTTACGCATGATCAGAGTTAATAATGGCGAAATCTAAGATCTTTGTTTTTTTTCTTAATAACATGTAATTACATTTGTTTTTGTGTTATGAGTTTTTTATCTTGACAATCTGCACTCAGTTATCTCAATTAAACAAGTGCTAAAATTTTTAAATGATAAATAAGTATTTAAATCATTTTATATTCCTCTCACGATATAAATTTATTTGTTTAAATAAATAAATATATGCATAAAAATCTTACTAGTAAAATTAATAAAATTTCATAGATAAATTTTATAAACAAAAATTCATTTATGTATGAGCATGTGAGTCTATATATTAATTTAATTAAACATAAACTTGAATTCAATATTTTATAAAATTGAATATATAGAATCAAATGATTTTCTCTCTAATTAACTAAGAAGTCTTGTTAAATTACAATTTGTAAATATGAAATTGCAGGAATAATAGTTAGCATGTTAATGAATTTTCTTTTGGCCAAAACGAAAATGGAGAGAGAGAGCTCTTTGATCTATATGATTGTTAGGGAGTGTCCGTTGTGCCTCCCCAAAATAGCCGTTAGATAGCCGTTCCAAACTTCAATACCCACCCACCCCCCCCCCTTTTTTTTTGTTGTTTTTGTTTTTGTTTTTGGTTGCCGGTGGGACACCAAGCCCAAACGTCGGAACACAAACTTCTTCTATTCAGGAAACACCCAACATGAAAAATAAAAAAAATGTGAAACTGTAGTCATGGTATGCTTATTCACGAAAAAAAAAGTCATGGTTTGCCGGTTTCATCATTTTGCATCTTAGCTTAATGCTTTTCTTTTTCTTAAAGAAAAGTTGATTTCAAGCCTTGAATATTAACGGCTTATTAGATATTTCTTATTAGATGTCTAACAATTACCTATCCAAATCAAACTCATTTCTTATTAGATATTTAACTTTACACCCTTAAATCGACATCTTATTTTAGCTCCTTTTACAACAAATCTTCATCTTCCTGCACTCAATTTTTCATATCGTCCTCTAAGTTTTACTTGATATGAAAGAAAAAATAAAATTTTATTAATCTAATAATTAAAATTCATAATATTTTTGTACTTAATAAAAAATTTTCGTCTTCACTTATTTTCATCTTTCCTATCAAAAAATATATATATACTAATTTTACACTCTTTTCAAATCAAGTCTTGAGCTAAATCTATTACGCCAAGACTTTCTTTTTCGCAGTCATATTTTGATTATAAAGGTTACAGGTTGAAATCGGTTAGCCATTAATTCTTTGCCAGGACATTATGTTTACATTGTCAGCATAATCTAAGATAAACTTCCACCATAAATACCAAAATTTTGCATTAATGTTGGCTCGAGAATGATTTTTTTAATCAAACAATTTCATTACTCAAAACATTACATGTAAAAATCTTGAGCGAACCTGATATTATAAGCAAATATTAAAAATTTAAAAAAATTTTGAAAATGAAGAATTCTTCTGACAAATAAAGGTAGATAACTACTTAATAAAAATGAACATTTTGAATCACAAGTACATAATACAACCAACAAAGAAGACAGGCTGCCCGGCATTCTTAGCAATCTTTAGGAAAAACTTACAGATTGCTGTATTCATTATCAAACTTCTCAAAGTCATAAAGTCTACTGAGCTGTCTGCCGGAGTGATCATCCGCGTGAAATGAATAACCTAAAAGAGAAACTTGAAAAAAAAAAACAAATCACAGGCAAAAATATATTGGCACACAACTAAACTCCTTTCCCTTTTGTCTTCTGTCCTGGGATATTCAATTAACTTCACCTGTGATCTATAAACGCAAAATATTAACTTTGTAAGACAAAGCACAAAGGAGTAAAAATGTAAAGGACGAATACTTAGAATATTGCATCAGAATACAAAACATACAGATTTTTAAGATTTAGTTGGCAGCTGCGTCTGTTTTTGCCTAATTGCACCACAATCAAGATCGGGGAGCAGCCATCTGCTGTTTCTTTATCCTCTCTCCATGCTTCACCATGCTGTACTATGAGCAGCAAATGCTAGAGTTAAATTTGTTATCACAACAAATTCAATACTCATCTCTTCATATTCATTATGATTATATATGAAACAAAATATCGATTCCCTGACGGGAGTAACATCTTGTTTATTATCAAACCGCTAATTCACACTAAAACCATTACAATTTAATAAAACCTTCAATGTACACAATTTTCTTGGCATTTGGCTTAGCACCTATTTGGTAAAAAAAATTATATATAATAACTAAAAATACAAAATAAAAAATTATCCTTGTATCAAAATTAGCATAAAATAAATTATTTTAATTTATATATGTATATCTTTCTATGGGTGACAAAAAAATTATTGGAGTTTAGCCTCATAACTCAACATCATTATGGTATTATTTATACTGAAGGAGTCATGGACAAAAATTCTGTGTAGAGGATAAAATAAAAAGCAATTTTTTCATATATTTTGCTAGCTTGATTTAAGATCATTATCCAAGACAAACAATTCCCAGCAGATAAATGTGCCTACCAAATAATAAAGAAATGCTGACTCCGGTAATACAAGTAAAAAGACCTTATTGCAGGATATTTATCTTTCAAGTTCCAATCTTGTAGAATAAATATATAAAATAAAGTGTTAAAACCAATAAAATTGTGGTTCAATAATACACACAATCAAGTTAGTTTCAATATTACATACAATCAACTATCAAGGCTGCAGATAACTTACAACCATTAAAATTGACTAAACTATTTCAAAAGATTGCTTTTCTATTATGTGTACAGTAAAAATTTTCACTTGGGTAAACGGGAAATAGCTAGACATTTCCATGGACTAGGTTCCTTTGGTTTCACTTAAATAACCTATTATATTATTGGTTCATAACCAGTTTACCAACAAGCATGATCCCATTCTAAGTAAACTTTTTGTCGGATAGGCTTGGCTTGGTAGAAAGGATGAAAAGAAAATGATGAAAAACTTGTTAATTTAATGGTTAAAGTACAAAATAAGAAAGTGGTTATGAATTTTAACAATTGGATTAACAAATTTTTCGTCCTTCCTACCAAACAAAACCCTATAGTTCATGGGTTCTACTTGTAAGCCTAGCACAAAATTCACAATCTAGTTATCTTGTAGCAGCTCCACTAAAACATACTCTTTTATTTTTTTTAATTTTCTTTGTTGCACAATTTTATACAAAACCCTAAACTTTATCCTAATAAGAGATAAGAACCATTTGGCCTCGCAAGGTTTATTAACTCAAACTCACTCACTACTAATAAATAGGAGTGGATTTTATTTGGGGATTACCAAATTAACTAATTTATCTAATGAATTTAAGTTAAAAGGAATCCATAACAGAGCCAACCAATCCATTATGAACTTTTTGTAACCAATCCACAACTAATACATAGAACCAATTCATTTGACTAATGAACTTTTGTATATAAGATATAGATAAATAAAAGCCCACCAATCCATCTCCTACATGCACAAACCTATTTTTTTTCTCTTGTTCTCGACTCTCCCGCTTTCTAATCCCTAATCCCTGATTTTACCCTAAACATTTTTTCATCCTTAATGTATCACTTTCCAATCTCCCACAACCTCTACTCACTCGCTTTTCCACTTTGTTCGTCTAAAGTTACTGAATTTCCTTCTCCCCAAAAGCCAGAAGAATGTTATACAGATAAGCAAAGAACAGACACTAAGACAAAAGAAAGAAAGCAGGAAGATGGCATCCATTGGAAGCAATGGAGCTGCAAGGACACCAATATGCTAGGAGAGGATTTGATTTGCTTCTATTCTCTACTTGATTTTTAGCAGCATTTTTCATTTTCATCCCTTTGTTTCAATTCGTGCTTTGTGTCCTAAGCTTTTTTCTCTGTTTCCCGGAAGATAACTCAAAAAATGTTAAAACAACTACAATTAATTAAATTCTTTTGATTATCCAGTTATTGGTTTAAGTTTAGTCAGTTTCAGTATTAGATACAAATTTGATTAACTCAACTTTCACAACAAATTGAACCAAATGTATCAAACCAACTGAATAAACACCCTTATAATTTCTAAAACCCTGAATCCCTGCAAATTTTCCTTAAATTCTAAGAACTAATCAACACTTAAGTGCTCCACCCACTAACTCAAGAACATTTCTAGCATGTATCTGAAACTAAAACTAATTCTTTCATTACACCTCAAGAAAAGTACCAGCACCTTTAAATTACTTAGATCTGTCCTATCCTATTTCTTACATCTAGAAAATGCTAACTTTTAGGTTGTGTGTTTTGAGACATGGTCTATGAATTTTTTTTCTTTTTTAAAGATTGCCAGATATTACAGATATAATTTAGGAATATAACCGTGCAAAAAGAGAGATAGAAAAAGAAAAGGGCAGAGGGGGCATCACGTACTCAGAAAGAGGAGAAAATGGACAAACATATACAAGCATAAACAATAACCTGATATCATGAGGTGTGATAAATATCCATTGGGATCCTTGAGCCAGTGCAAACTCGACTAAAGTGTCCAAGCTGATTTTTCGGCTAACTGCATCCTGGAGAAAAAGATTGAATTTGCTCAGTCCATGTTTTATCTTTCTTGATGGACAACCACATTTACCTTATTCCAAGACAAGTGGCGCAGTTAAGTAACATCCCTACCACCAACACCCCCCCCCCCCAACCAAGAAAAAACACTCACCATAAACACATCAAACTCATCCATAGCTCGAAATGGGGCTTCAGTCATATCATGAAGAGCCAGCGCAAAGCATAATGTCGAGAAGGAACGCTCACCTCCTAGTCAAAATATATAAAAATAATACTGGAATTACCATTAACAAATTATGAAATCGCCTGACTCATCTGACCATTAAATTAATGACATGGGAGTAAAATATTCCAAAAAGAGAAACATGTTTTTGGATTAAACAATAGTCATGAACCCACAAGTAGAGAATTTTATATAGCCATGAACTTTAGGTTCAAAAGCACATTCTGAAAAACCATATTGAGTGTGGGGGAAAAAACCTGAAAGTCCTCTTGTATCACGAACAATGCTGCTTGACGCGTCTTGAGGCATTTTAACCTGTTATAAGGATAACGGAATCAGGAATAACTATATGAGTTGTGAATTAAGGGTAGGACTTCAAACCAACCACTCAGATGACCGAGATAAAAACATAAGTAGTTGATTAAAACTACACTCAAAAAAACAAGAAGAATTCAGATAGCTTACCTCCACTGAAAGGGTCTTTTCTTCATAACTAACCTTAATATGTCCACTGATACCTTTCTTTCCCAAATGGCCATTAAATCTAATTGTGAAGATTAACCAACAAGGCATTAAGGAATTGCACAGATGCCAACCCCAACAAGAAAATGATAAATAAATAATCATAAAGAAGGTGACTTAAGAATTGCAAGATGCATGATCCATACTGCCAAGTCAACTCGCGTCTCAGAAGAGATGCATTGCGTTGAAACTTTTTCCAACGCAAGTCTAGAGCTTTCTGACAAGCCTGCAATGTAAAAATTAAAACAGAAAGAGAAAGGTAAGTAACGACCGGCAAACTGAAAAAGACTTGAGATACAAGGCACCAATCATTTCTTTCAGAATTCACAATTAGAAACAATTACCAGATGCTATATAACCTACAAAATGGATTAAAAAAAGGTCACGTCACTATGCTAATTACAGATCTTAAAACAGATTATTTGAGATCACTAAATAGAGAACTCCACAGAATATAATCTTCATTCACATAAGTGCATTCAACAACCTAAAAGTTAAAGATATAAGATCTCAAAAATAACATGTCTAGCTTATAAGTGCCAACTCAGGCTAATATTGCGTTATCACTTACTTTATTGTCTTTGCATCACATCAGCAATTACAGCTTAACTGAAACGAAAGACATACAACAGGTGGCCAACTCTATTCGGTAGATATGATGCCAATAAGGATATATGTCAAAGCTAAAACTGAAATTAAATCCAGAAATTCCCTACGGTTTGAGGTACTTTGACATCACATCAGGTTATCCAACAATCATGCCTTCATCGTCCCAGAAATTATACCATCATGCAATCATCATATGTAACAGTTTTTACCAATCAATTATTTATGAAAGTTTCTCTTATTTCATATAAAGTACTCATGTTGCCTTTAAACCACTCCCCGACCCCCATCCAAAAGAAACAAAAAGAAGCTTTCCTCCTTTTTCTCTTTCCAGGTTTCTTTCTCTTTCTCTGCCAAGTTGTTTCTTATGTTGCAACCTTACTTTATGATTACAGACAAGAAAAAATGTAATGAAAGATAAAATTATTAAACATCAGAAGGCTCAAAAGCAATTGATTTTAAGATTAAGTCCAATGAACCAGCAAAAGCTTGCATGGCACTGACAAACTGCAGCAAAAGCCAGTACCTCATAACATTTCTTTCTCCAGCTAACAGTCATCCTTTCCTATATTTTCTTTCTTGCTTCTCGTTCTCCCAATCTACAGCAGGGCCAGGGAGAACAACCAGTATATTCTACTCCAAATGAATTTCTAGAACACCTTAGAGGGCATGAATAATTTCAAAACAAGCAAAGCCCAAGTAAAAATAAGCAAACGGAAATGCTAACCATCCTCTAGACACAAGAGGCAAACCATGAAGTAATTAGGAAAGAAACCACCAACCAGAACCAAGTTGAGTGATGACAAAACTCAGTTGCAAATAATAGAGTCCAATATCAAGTACAAGAAATTGAACAATAATGGTGCTTACATCTAATCTTTCCCGAAAAGCTTTATATGTTTCCAGTTTCCTTGAAATCCTATGTTTTTTCTCCTGATACAACATCCTAAGATCATCAATGGATTCCGAATACCTGCAGAAAAAAAAAAGAGAACATAGAATCTTATTGAAAGCTGATATTTGGGTATTTTAAAAGCGAAACATTGAAAATAAACCATACCCATACCGATGGCTCTCATGCATGAGTCTCTGATTCAGTATCTTTAATTTGGCACTTAGTTGCTCAGTTGTGCTTCCATCCCAACCTTCTAAAGCTTTAATTTCACTCTCAGGACAAATAACAGAAGCCTTTCTATAACTCTCCTGCAATGGTGCCAAAACATAACATGGACTACAAATATATAGACAATTCAAATTATTGATTGCTATATCTAAGAAGGCATAAAACCAACCTTACGACTGTTTTCAAGATCCGGATATTGTGCTTCCGCCTCCTTGATAGGAGGAAGAACCTTGTTGTTCATTACATTTTCATAATGGACCCTACTCTGAAACAGAAATTTTGATTTCTGAAGTCAAGTTTCTACAGAGCCATTAAAGAAGTAAATCAATAAAAAAGTTAATGGAAAAGAAGGTAGACCGCTTCAGCATGATTTATTTCTTTCTCTATCTCTGTTAGCTCCTCCTCTGCTTTCTGAAAGGCTTCAATCTCCCCTTTTGTTGATTCTATAATTCATATCAGGGATATATTAAATGAAAGTAAAACCACATGTGCACAATTGAACTAAATGTTAAAGATATTATCATTGTAATAATACCCCCTAAATTCTCTAATGATAACTTAAGAGTTGTGGCCTTTTCTTCTGCTTCCTTCATCCGCTCTCGGAGTGTTTCTAGCAGTGCTTCCTTCCCCTGGATCTCCATTTTAACATCCTAAAAAGACAATTCACATAACGAAGATATCATTAGAAAAAGGTTTATTAAGTTAATTGAATTAAAGTAGAAAAAATAGTATGTAACCCAAGACAATCATGGAACTAACTGAAATTTCTTGATAAAGTTCATTAGTAGTTGACTCAGGCAACACACTGGCGTCAACAACAAGCAAATTCTGCACATCCTGCAGTTTCAAGCTCTTAGCTGTGAAATCACGCTCTACACCCAAGCGCCTTCTCTACAAAACACAAAGGAAGGAGTGAAGCATCCAACATAGGACATACTGCACATATGGACCCAAAGAGAGATGGAGATGACGAAGAGAAAGATTAAAAGGTATCACTGGGGGAGATGAAGGCAATTCTTGGCATTAGTAGTAATTGCATCCACCAAGCTAGGCACAGAGTTGAAGTACACCCTTGATTTGGGGTACACATAAATTTACATTTCAAAGACAAGAAAACATATTGCATAAAGTTGAGAAACCATGAAAAAGAACACTGATATTTCTATCTATTAGAAGCAATAGATATAACATTTGTGCAACCTGTATAACGATCATAGACATAAATCCATCAAATCTACTTACATGTCTCAAATTACATAGAACTGAATGACACTACAACTTTGAAGAAATGCATATGTATATGTGAATAACATCATCAAGAAGCCAAACAGCATGGATATCTGTTTGTCCTCAAGGGAACATGAGTGAGACAAGCACAACAACACAAGTCAGACTCATGTAGAAGTGCTTCGATATAGACAACAATGCACTATAATACACAATGTCAGACTAGTAATAAGCTCCCAAAAATTTTTTTTTAAAAATCAATTTCAGAGAGGAGAAAATGAAAAAAAGAAGAAAGAGGAACGAGAAAAGACCTACCACCCAAAATTTAGCACATTATTGTTACCTTTAAATTAATTAGCCTGCTGCCAAAATCCTGAAGCTTTTTCTCTGACTGCCTCTTTCTACTCTTGCATTTTTCAATTTCTTGTTGAACATTTGACGCATGTCTTTCAAACTCCTTAATTTGATCACCAAAAGAACCACAAAGGTGGCCAATACTAAGCCTTTTATTTGAGGGAAGAATTGTCTGGACTGAACCACGTGAAAACCTGAGAAAGTAACACATCCAACTCAGTGAACAAAACCTCAAGTTTAGCTGGTCAGGAAATATAATTCAGCACAAAGAAGCATCCAATTTACAACAGCCAAAAGCTCCACAAGCACAAGCATGTCTCAGCAAACCAGTCGTACATAACAAAAGTTGACATAACTCAAAGGTGAACTCATTTTTCTGCTCATTGTGAAACTAGATTTCATAAAACATATATAGCCATATCAATTGATTCATGTAGAAAACTTAAAGAACAATATTTAATCTACAATGAAAGAGTACATCTAAATAAATAGGAACAGTGAAGTTCCATATAGGAAACAACTTACATGAAACAAAAAACAAAAAATAATAGAAGGAAAGAAAATAATTCTATTCTAAAAGAAAAACAAATCCCTAAAAACCTAACAATCAGAATAATTGACTAAATCAGAAGAGTAAATGACAAGTACTCCCAAAATAAATTAGAAAATCAAGTTGCACTAATGTAGGAGAATCGAATCTGCATTAAAGTAGGAGAATCAGATTTCTACACTCCCTCTCAAGCTAGGTTATGAATGTTAATCATACTCAACTTGGATTTCAAACAGTCAAAAATGCTTCTAGGAAGAGCTTTAGTCAAAATATCTGCAATTTGAGAACTTGTAGGGATATAGATCAATTTGACTGACCCATTTTCTATCTTTTCCTTTATGAAATGTCAGTCCAGCTCTATGTATTTGGTCCTATAATGATAAACAAGACTTTTGGCAATACTTATAGTAGCCTTATTGTCATAAAACAGTGTCATAGATGTCACAGTTTGAACTTTAATTCTCCAAGTAACCTCATCAGCCAAATTCCTTCACAAATAAAATGAGGCATTGCTCTAAACTTAGCCTAAGCACTGCTCTTAACTACAACAGCTAGCTTTTTACTTCTCCAAGTGACCAAATTTCCCCAAACATAAGTGCAATATCCAATGGTGGACCTTCTATTTGTTACTGATCCAGCCCAGTTAGCATCTATGTACTCCTCAACTGCCCTGTCTAGACTTTTTAAAATATAAACCTTCATCAGAACTCTTCTTTAAGTACTGTAGGATTCGATGAACAGCCTTAAGATACTCCTTGATTGGATTATTCATATATCTACTCACCATCCCTACTGTAAACCCGATATCAGGTCGTGTGTGAAAAAAGTAAATAAGCTTCCCAACTAGTCTTTGGTATTGCCCTTTGCCAATGAGAGAGCTTCCATTTTCACTTTCAATTTTATTAGTTGAGTCCATGGGTGTATCGACAGGTTTGCATCCAATCATGTCGGTTTCTTTGAGTAGATCAAGTACATACTTACGCTGAGACTCTAGTACCATTCTTAGAACGAGCCACTTCCATCCCAAGGAAATATTTAAAGAACCCCAAGTCCTTTATTTCAAACTCCTTTGCAAGGAGTTTCTTCAAGTCATCAATTCCTTCCTTGTGGTCTTCGATGATTATGATATCATCCACATAAACAATAAAATAACTTTTTTTCCTTCATTAGTAAACTTAACATAGTATGGTCAGATTGACATTGAAGGAATCCATACCTCTTCATTGCCTTGGTCAACCGTTCAAACCAAGCTCGAGGAGACTATTTAAGTCCATACAAAGATTTTTGAAGTTTGCACACTTTGCCGATGTTGTCTTGCCTTTTGAAACCAAGGGGAATTTCCGTGTAGACATCCTCCTCTAAGTCACCATTTAAGAATGCATTCTTGATATCAAGTTGGCTACTAGTGACAATAGAACTCTAATTGAATTGTATTTGGCCACCGGAGCAAAAGTCTCCTCATAGTCTATCCCATAAGATTGAGTGAACCCTTTTGCAACAAGTCTAGCTTTGAACCTGTTTATACTTCCATCTACATTGTGCTTTATTATGAATATCCACTTACATCCAACCGTGTTTTTCCCTTCAGGCAAATATGAAATTTTCCATGCCCTATTTTTCTCTAGTCCTTGATTTCTTCAAAAACTACTACCTTCCAATCTAGTTCATTGAGGGCTTTCCGAATATTTTTTGAAATTTGTACATTGTCAAAGTTAGTAGTAAAGGCTCGAAAGTTAGGATTTAACCTATCATATGAGATGTACTTGCAAATAGCGTATCAGGTGCATGATCTCACACCTTTTCTTAATGCAATAAGAATGTCAAGGTCACCAGCTGGCTCACAAGTTTTAGTTTTAGATTCAATAAGGACATTACCAGTGCTTGTTTCAGGTCTTGAAGAGTCGAACCAAGTTAATTTTTAGTGTTGGGCTATATACAATTGTCCACTTCTTCCTATGGTTTTTGCTTCCTTAAGTAAACTATCAATTCTTTTGTTTTTTCTTGCAAAACCTTAGGGTTTGCAAAGCTAAGAGTTGCCTGAACAAGTTAGGTTTCGAAATTTGCATTGCTGATAGGTTGGGTAGGTTGAGAATATGGTTTTGAAAGGGCGGGTTGGGAATTTGGTTGGAAAATTGGCAAGTCAACAGCTAAGAATTGATATCCCTGAGTAGTATTTTCCCCTTGAATATCATTCTTGCTGTAGTCTAGAAGATTCCTAAAGAAGATAACATCCATAGAGCTATAGAATTTTTTTGTGATGGGTGAGCAACACCTATAGTGTGAAAAAAACTAAGAAATAAATCAGTGTGGAAACTTAATGTATATTGAAAAACTGCTCATATATAATTATACAAGAACCTTAGGTTTATATACAATTAACTAGGGGTTAAACTAGGAAACTAAATCTTCTTAAAAAACTAATCTTATAATTGAGGGATTGTCTATCCTAATTTTTTATCCTTAATTCTAGAGATACAAATACTTAATTCTAAAGATACAAATATAAATATACAGATTACAACCAGTTGTAAATAAGTGTTTTCCCACACTCCCCCTCAAGCTGGTGAATAAGTGTTTTCCATTCCCAGCTTGAAAATAATTTCTTGAAATGTTACACTGCTGAGACCTTTAGTCAATACATCTGCAAGTTGACCCTTGGTTGATACATAAGGTGTACAAATCAACCCACTGTCTAATTTCTCCTTTATGAAATGCCGATCTACTTCAATGTGTTTTGTTCTGTCATGTTGCATAGGATTGTGTGCAATGCTTATTGCAGACTTGTTATCATAGTAGAGTCTCATTGGTCCATCCCACTTGATCTTCAAGTCTCCTAGGATAATCTTTAACCATAGTAGTTCACAAATTCCTTGAGCCATTGCTCTGAACTCTGCTTCAACACTTGATCTTGCCACCACATTCTATTTTTTACTCCTCCAAGCCACAAGATTACCACCAAAGAAAATGCAATAGCTTGAGGTGGATCTTCTATCAGTTACTGAACCTACATAATCAACATCTGTATAGGCTTCTAGAACTAACCCCAAATTTCTTTTGAATAAGATACCTCTCCCAGGATTAGCCTTCAAATAGTGCAATATACGATAATCAGCCTGTAAGTGCATTTCTTTAAGACTATGCATAAATTGACTTACCACACTCACAGTATATGTTGTATCAGGTCTATGTGAGAGATAAATGAGTCTTCCAACTAATCTTTGGTACATCTCTCTATTTACAGCATCATCTTCATTAGCTTCTCCAATTTTATGATTAGAATCTATAAAGGTATTTGTAGGTTTACATGCGAGCTTCCTAGTTTCCTACAAAAGATCCATCACATATTTTTGTTGTGAGATGAAGATACCATGCCGTGAGTGAGCTATTTCAATTCCTAGGAAGTACTTCAATCTCCTTAGCTCTTTTATCTCAAATTCTCTAGCCAAACACTGTTTTAGAGATTCTCTCTCTTTTTCATCATCTCCAGTTACAATTATATCATCAACATACACTAATAGAACTGTGACTCTCCCTGAATCAGAGTGCTTGATAAACAATGTGTGATCTCCTTGACTCTGTTTATATCCCATTGCTAGCATCACTTTGGCAAATCCCTCGATCCAAACCCTAGGAAACTATTTAAGCCATATAAAGCCTTTTTCAGCCTGCATACTTTGTTTGCTTCTAGATGACCTCCAAATCCCGATGGAACCTTCATATATATTTCTTCTTCCAAATCGCCATGTAAAAAGCATTCTTTACATCAAATTATTAAAGCTGCCAATTGTAATTTGCAACCAATGATAACAAAATCCTAACTGTATTCATCTTGGCAACTAGAGCAAAGGTTTACTGATAATCCACTCCATAGGTTTGAGTGTAGCCCTTAGCCACTAACATGACTTTATACCTTTCAACAGTACCATCTACCTTGTATTTTACAGTGAAAACCCATTTACACCCCACTAGATTTTTTTCTTTAAGCAACTCTACCAGTTCTCATGTCTGATTTTTCTCTAAAGCCTCTATTTCTATTTTCATGGCTTGCCTCCATTTCTCACTGGATAATGCCTCGGATAATGTAGTTGGAACAGATATAATGTTTAAGCTCACAAGAAAATTTTTGTAGGATAGTGAAAATTTTTCAAATGACACAAAATTAAAAATTGGGTATAGTGGATGCTTAGTGCATTCTCTGGTTCTTTTCCTAATGGCAATAGGCAGATCATAATCACTAGTTATAGTTTTAAGAGATTCATGCTCATTTTGAGAAACAAAGTCAAAAACTGTAGTTGCCTCATTTCCAAAGTTAGGATCAGGCTCTTGGACTGACACTGGTTCAGGATCTAGAATTTTCTTTCTCGAGTACACATGTAATTCCTTCATAGAATCAAGAACAAAATTATCTTTTGTCACATCTGTATTTGAAATGGGTTCAGACTCAAATTCAGTGTTTGACTTTGGCTCAGCAGAAACAGGTTTCAACTCAAAAAAATTAATGGGTGTAAATGTTGAAAAAGGGGACAAATCAAGCAAAAAGAAGTCTTTATCCTTATCTTCCATGAATGAAGTCTCCCCCTGAAGATAAGGTTGAGTAAAAAATGATTTACTTTCTTCAAAAATGGTTTACTTTCTTCAAAAATGACATCTGCAAACACATAGAATTTTTTGGTAGGAGGATGATAGCACTTATATCCTTTTTGAGTTGAGGAATAACCCACAAAAATACACTTAATCGCTCTTGGATCCAACTTTCCCCTGTTATGACTGTGATCAAAAACAAATGAGGTACAACCAAATATCCTAAGGGTGAGATTGTTTGTGGTATTAAGGTTGGGATAAAATTGTGAGAGTGGTTCCATAGGAGTTTTAAATCCCAAAACCCTTGAAAATAACCTATTTATAATGTGTGTGACAGTGAGAACAGCTTTCCCCCAATAAGATTTAGATACATTTACTTGAAAAAGAAAGGCTCGGGTTGTGGCTAGTAAATGGTTGTTTTTCTTCTCTGCCACTCCATTCTGCTGTGGAGTATTAACACAAGATGACTCATGGATAATCCTTCATTTTAGAAATAGGTGGATAGACTCTGGTTGAAGTAATCTATTGCATTATCAGACCTAAATCTCTTGATTCTCACTCCAAATTGATTTTGGATCATGTTTTGTAAGCTTAAAAACACATTATTCACATTTGATTTGGATTTAAGTAAAAAAACCCAAGAGACCCTGGTACAATCCTCTATGAATGAAACAAACCATCTTGCACCAAAAATATTAAGAACTGTAAAAAGACCCCAAATGTCATTATGAATCAAGTAAAAGGAAATAGAATTTCTTTTGTTACTAATTGAAAAAAAACACGTTTATGATTTGCAAGTTCGTAAACATCACTATGAAAATCTTCCACATTTAATCCTTTGAACAAAGAAAGAAACATGTTTCTCAAGGTTCCAAAAAAAAGACGTCCAAAACGAAAATGATAAAGCCAAATTTTGTCTTTATTGAAAGATTTTTCAGAAAGAAATGACAAAAGTAAACTATTCTTCATATTGCTGGTGTTATTTGATCTTTCAAGATAGTATAGTCCATCATTCTCCTTAGCAAGTCCAATCATCTATCTCGAACTTTGGTCTTAAAATTCACAATAAGCGAGATAAAAAATGACTTTACAATTCATATCTCTGGTAAGTTTTTGTATAGATATCAGATTAGTAGACAATCTAGGAACATGAAGAACATTTTTTAGAACAAACGAGGGATTAACTTAAACATCTCCTAATCCTGCCACTGTAGTAAGTGAACCATCTGCAACAACAATTTTCTTATTACTAAGACACAGGGTATATGTACTAAACTTCTGTGAGGAATGTGTCATATGGTCTGTGACTCCAGAGTCAATGACCCAAAAATTCGTAATAGGCTTAACCGAGATATTTAATCCACGAGAACCAAAAGCTTTACTTGAACTAAAGACCTTACCCAAAGAACATACCACAGTAGGATTTTCAATAAGTTTCTCAACTTTTCAATTTCTTCCCTATCGAACTCTCCTTGTTTCCGAAGCATCTGTAATACTCGAATGATTTTCCCAATTGACCTTTCCTCAAATTGGGTGATAGTGATATCTTTCTTTGAAAGGGTTCGACAATAAAGGCCTAAACAAGATTCGGCAATGAAGACCTAAAAAAGAAGTCAACAATGAAGGCTGAAAATTTTGCTTCCCAAGAAGAGCCTAAAGCTCCGATACCATGTGAAAAAAACTAAGAAATAAATCTGTGTGAAAACTTAATGTATATTGAAAAACTGCTCATATATAATTATACAAAAACCTTAGGTTTATATACAACTAACTAGGGGTTAAACTAGGAAACTAAATCTTCCTAAAAAACTAATCTTATAATTGAGGGATTGTCTATCCCAATTTTTTATCTTTAATTCTAGAGATACAAATACTTAATTCTAAATATACAAATATAAATATACAGATTACAAGATTACAACCAACTGTAAATAATTATTTTCCCACATATAGCCCTTTTGGTTTGGAGAATAACCAAGGAAAATGCATTTTAAGGCTTTAGGATCAAGCTTGCAGCGGTTTTGTTGGCTAATATGAACAAAGACAATGCAACCAAAGAGTTTGATGGGAATGGAAGAGATCAACCGAGTTTGTGGGTAAGAAATAAAGAGAGTTTGACAACACGTTTTAAAGCCAAGAACTTGATAAGGCATTCGATTAACTAAATAGGTTGCAGTGAGGACAGATTCTCTTTAAAAATATTTAGGCACATTGGAAGTCAACAACAGAGATCTGATAACTTCTATCAAATGTCTGTTTTTGCATTCGGCAACCCTATTTGGTTGTGGAACGTCAACACGAGCTTTGATGGATAATGCCATGATTGGTGAGGTAAAGGCCGAGAACAGAATTAAAGTATTCCCTTCCATTGTTAGTTTTTAGGACTTGGATTTTGGCTTGGAATTAGGTTTGTACCATACTATTGAAGTTTTGAAAGATTTGGCTAACTTCGAATTTTCCTTTCATAAGGAATACCCAAGTGAATCGAATATGCTTATCGATGAATGTAACAAACCACCTAGAACTTGTGATATTGTTAACTCTTAACGGTCCCCAAATGCCACTATAAATAATTGAAAAAGGCTAAATGATTTATAGGAAAAGCTAGCATAAGTATTTCGAGTGTGCTTGGAAAGTTGACAAATTTCACACTAAAAATCTTTAGAGATGTTATTTAATAATAAGGAAAATAACCTTTTTAGGTATGAAATATTTGGATGTCCTAATCCATAATGCCATAACATGATAAGGTCATCTTTACTAGTACTAGAGGCTAAGACTGTACAAAAGTTTTGTGGTCTCTCAAGTGCATCATCTTGAAAAAGGTAAGAGTCTTGCACACATCCTAGCACTACCAATAATACTCCCTAAGCCTAATTCCTGAAATTCATACAAGTTGGGAAAAAATTTAGTAACACAACATTTATCCTTAGTAAGCTTATTGATGAAAAGTAGATTACAGCTTAAATTAGTGACATAAAGAACAGAGTCAAGCGTTATGTCATTCGAAACTATGGTAGAGCCTATCCCTGCCACCTCTGAGAGAGAGCCATCAACAATTTTTACAACAAAACTACTATAATAAAGTCTACATGTGTTGAATAAGGATGCATCTCAAGTTATGGGATTTGATGCCCTTGAATCAACAATCCAAGATTGTGTATTTCCCCATTGAACACTTAAGACATTTAGAAAATTACTTTTTTGTGCTAATAAACTAGTTTCAAAGGTTGCAGACTTGTTTTGAAAGGTTTGTCGAAGCCTCACCTCTTTGTGACTTTTCTCATGCCATACCTTTGCAGAAGAGGAGTTCTCACTCTTGCTAACCATAACGAAAACTCGTGTGATTATAGTCCAAAGGTTAAAGCCGACTTGCTCTAATACCATATAGAAAACTTAAAAAACAATTGTCCTTATTTCTTCTTATTCAATCTACAATGAAGGAGAACATTTAAATGAATAGGAACAATGAAGTTCCTTATTAGGAAACAACTTACATGAAACATAAAATAAAAAATAATAAAAACAAATCCCTAAAAACTTGACAATCAGAATAGTTGACAAAATCAAAAGGGTAAATGAGAAATATTCCAAAATAAATTAGGAAATCAAGCTGCACTAATATAGGAGAATCAGATTTCTACAATTCAACCACCCAAAATATTGGAAAATTGATATAACTCAATATTAAAGACTTCCATGTAATTAGAAAAACGGCAACATGACATTTACGATAGACCACCCGTATGTACAGTCAAATTAGTGTTAACCCATAAAGACCCTTATCCTATGGCTCAATCTGCTTGAAACCGTTTTCTTCATTTCTTTGCATAATATGTGCCAAGGAAGAGTTGGAGAAACAGCATTAGGAGTTAGAAGTATCTTCTTCCAACCATTCCTAAAACATCATGAAAAATAATGCTTTTTCTTTTCATGGTTGCAAAATACTAGAAAACCCCGTAGAACAATTAATATCACCTAATAAACTTCAAACAAAGAAACCAATCATTCTTTAAAACCAATTGGCCTTGTACACCATTCCTACAAATCAATTTATTAAGTCATATCTAAAACCTATCACTCCCAATCACTATTTTTGACATTTTGACACCTATCATCATTTGTTACAAATTGTTTTTTGGGAATTGGATTTTAAAATTTTGAATTCCAAGTTTTTTATTTAAAATTTATGAATTTGAAATAGTTTTTTGGGATAAATCTAAGATTTGAATTCAAGAATTAGAACAGCCATAGATTTGATAAGGAAGCAAATTTTCTTTAGGCAAAATCTGATAAATACCAACATCAAAAAATAATTTGAAAGCTTAGATTTGGGACTGTTGGAATTAGTAGTAGATTTGGCCCAAATTCAAATTCAGTTACTTCAAATCCTTCCAAATAATATATTTACATTTAAAATTCAAATTCAATTCTCACTCCCCTAAATACTGGTTCCCAAAAGGACCATGAATGAACAGTAATAGTGAATAAAAAGATAATGGATGAGGACATGAAAGGAGATGTAAAATTAATTCTTGACTTACATTCTAAACCCATCTAAGGTAAAAACCTCTGTCAAATTCGGTATTCTTTGATCAAATGCAACTGCTCTTCCCACATTGTAATCTTTAACAAGAACTTGCCTCTCAGCTTTACCCTAAAAATATGCAAAAAGTTATTGTAAGACATTAAGCGGCAGCAACAGCTCCTTAAAAACAAGAATGGAAAAGTGAAAGAACCAAATCCTATAAACCCTGCCAAACTGCCCAACCCACCTCATTGGAAATACGATAATGGAAAATTCTAAAAGAATAAAATAGGCAGAGGGTAGTTAAAAAGGAAAAATATCTAAAACAGCATATTTAGATTAGAAAACTATGACAAGAAACGAAAAATTACCGAATCTACTAGAACATTAAAAACAGTAGGATTATCAGAATGTATAACAGATAGAGTAGTCGGGTGGTTCGTCTGGGGAAGCAAGTGATTTGGTATAATCAACCTACAACAAAAGCATTAGCAAGAGGGAAACTATAGTCAAAGATCAGTATCATAAACTCAGGCTTTTTAAGAAAATTAGAATTTTCATCCTTTCACCTTGGTCTTGAAAACTTGTGTATGACAATTGGAAAGTAGTTATATCTTGCCTCTTTTGCACATTCTCTAAGAGCAGAAGCATCCTTAGAATTTGTCACAATGAAAGCATTGAGCAACTTCCCAATGGCTTGTTCAACAGCAGGAGCCCATGTATCACCATCGACCAATGTCTGCAGGGCATAATCATAAAACTAATAACAGTTGCCAGTTGTCCACAATTCATCATATATTATGGAAAGCAGTGATACCTATGCTTGTACTTACTAAAAAAACAAAATAAGAAGAAACTTTCAAAGGAAAAAAGCCTCCAAATTCAGAAAAGACAGGAACTAGATTCAGACCAAAAAGGAATTAAGTGATTTTTTTTAACAAAATCCTCAATTCAGTTAATCAGAATATTACTTTAAAAGGAAATAACAAATTATGTCATTCCCACAAGCAATTGTTCTTTCAGGTTAAATGTGCCCAACTTGCCTATACCATTACTATGGCAAAAGAAAAGTTGAAAGAATGACAAGATATTCACAGAGATATCTTCGAGATAGGAAAACTTAAAAAAGTTCCAGCATTCTACAGCCAACCCCACATGAACAAACAGATCATATACTATTATTTAAAGCTCTAGTCGTTTAATTCCTTGGCGTAAGAAATGTGCTCACTAATTCTCTGGAGCAATTTTCTGTCACTTACCACATGAGCACCAATAGGACCAATAGGTGGCATAGTGAATTGGCGATGACGTCTCTCAATTGCACGTAGAAGGCGAAGCACTCCATCCCCTCCAAAAGCTGTAACCTGTCAAATAAACATGGAAGAAAATCACAGTTCACCAAAGCCCATAAAATGTTCAGGGAGAAAACAAGCACAGTCATATCAATACTTTCATCTAAGAGCAATAAAACAAAAGTTGAACAGACCCTGTTGGTTTGATGTAGACGAAGCTCATGAATTTGATGATCAATCTCATGTTGCTTCTTTTCATAGCATTTAATCTATAAAAGAGAAAACCAGATCAGTGATGTGATGGTCTTCAAGAAAAAAGGATCTCTAGAGGCTAATTGAGACAAACAAATTCTGAATTTTCAAGAACTTAATCTGCACACAAATACTTGCATATGTCAAAACTAATTTTTCTCCAAACAATTGAGCACATAAAATGGATAAAGAGTCACCACAATCAAAAGTAATCATATCTAGAACATTTTGAAGCAGTAAATTAACTTCAGAATGTTCCTTAACCTTTACTTGGCATGAGATAATGCTGAACCTCTATATGCTCCATGATCGCTTATCCTCTAAAACCTTGACCATCTAAAGACACCATATGAGGATTATACTTAACAGACTTCTAGGTATCAAACATAACACTAGCATATATCACCATAAAATAAAAGATTCCATTTTTGAACTCATTTAGTCATTTACACTTGCGTACATTGGAGCACTAATATGTGAACTCCATGTGACCATTTCAAAGTAAATGGACAAGCTGAAATGTCCCAAAATCACAGAAACTCATAAGAACATGATAAACTTCTAAGTTGACTATTTGACCGTAAAGAAAGGGGGGAGGGGAGTAACCCCACAAACAATTTGCTGTTGTTGCCTGAATTTTGTGCTGCACTGGATTGCTGGGAAGAGCAATAACAAAATTGATCATGGCTAAAGAATACTAACTGCATGCCTTTCCTTTGGCTTGTTCAGGAAGACTGCAGTGAGGTTGAAACAAAATGAAGGAAACAATAACTAAAGAGAATATCAAGTGTACAGCATGATATTTCAAAACAGCATCATAATCCTCTTCTAGTGTTATGTTATACAATCATAAACCATTTAAAGAGAACAATTCAAACCAGAGTCAAAGTGGAACAGCAAATTCTCATCCATATTCAAGCTAAAAATCTCTATCATTCCTCATACCTCATCATTTATCTTCTTCATTGCATCCATTTCCGCTGAAACATGTTCTGACAAAGTATTCTCGTCATCCTTCAAACTGAAAGGTAATAGTATTTTAAGGATAGATAGATCTAGAATAACAAAACAGAAGCACAACGAACAAGGAAATGAAATAATGAATAACCTAGAGAGTATTGATTTGACATGATCAACAGCATATTCTAGTTCCTTAATATGTTCCTCTATTTCTGATTCTTCAGCCTGCAGAAGAACAGAAGAAGAAAGGTAAATCCTCTTTCAATAATGTATACCAAAATTAAACAATCAATTCACCCACCACTCTATTGCTAGACCAAACAGCTTGTCAAACAACTAATAGATAAGGAAAACTAATCAAAATAAGGATGGTATAGCCATTTTCAGTTGGATGGGAAGGTTAGTATGTAATAGATTAAAGATAACTTCGGAGTAACAATATGATGAAATAGCACATCAAGAAGCAACATTTCTCAAACCAAACATCTTTCATACTTACAATGGTTTAATATAAGAACAAATCTTGGAAAACCACCAAACTTTATATTGCTACCAATGAGAGAGAGATTATCATGAATAAGAACCACCAAAGATTTTCAATATAATCAAGATATACATGTCAAAGTTAAAAAACATGTTATCGGATAGGAGGAACCTGGCTTTTGGATTTATATATTGTATGACTAAGCCCTACCAGTGTCCAGTCTTTACAAGATATAAACAAGATCTTAATATTCTTTCTACTAATATACATAAATGTGCCCATTGTTATTCTTACTGAATGTTATAGACCAAGGCATCTTGTGCTTAAAACACAGAATACAAATATACTTCATAGCATATCAAATTTAAAAAAGAAAAAGAACACAATACATGAATATTATGATAGCAAAAGCAAAAAACTGAATGTCACATTATTTTAAAAAGAATTTAACTCACCAGTAGTAACGGTCAAAAATAAATAAACAAGTCAAATGGCAGAAAAAATTAACAAAGACAAGGAAAGACCTGCGTATTTCTAATATGTTTCTCCTGAATATCATGGGCTTGTTCTTCAAGCATCCTGACATCATTCCGCATCTTATGAATTTGCTTACTGTTGCGGCCATGCTCTTCTTCAAGTTCAAGCTTTTCTTTTGTTGCCTACGATGAACAAAAGTATAATTTCAGAAAATAAAAATAACAAGCAAAAAAACATAACCTGATCATAAAACCATAAGTACCACAATCAGATGAAGGATTACACAACTTATAAACATAAAAGCTTATGCAGATATTATAAGATGCAATGACAGATTCAATAAACAGACAAGAAATAATAAAGGAAGATCTTTATGAGAACTCAAAATTCAGCTTTCTTATTCATATTCAACCATGACTAAACCAATTATAATGGAGAGATGTACAGTATTCACCTCAACTAGTTACTCAAAGAGATAAAAGAAAAATAAACTGATACATGTTACTTAACTAGTTAAAACTGATAACAAGCCCAGCAACAAAGTAAAGATAATTCAAGTAATTCAAACAAAGGATAAAAGCACTTGAAATGGAAAACAACACAAGATAAATGATTCAACCTGTCTTTTGAAACAACAAAGATAGGAAACTATTAATGTACCAAACAAAAAGCATCCCACAATTCATCTTTCCTTCTCCTCACTTCAGATGTTTTTTCCACTAAAGCTGCAACTTGATCTTTCTTCTTTGAAAAGAGTTCCTGCAACTTCACCAACTTATCCTGCAAATAATCAAAATTTTCCGTAGTCAACAAATGCAAGTTAAACTTTTAGTAGACTTCCTAAAAAAACAAAAAGATAATTGATGACAATAAGCCTTCATTATCATGACTAGGGCAGAAATTATCAGTCTAACCAACCAATAGGAAATAAAAAGTTGCCCTTTTGCTTTCTATTTAAAGACTCAAACTGACTTTTAACAACAGAACAACCAGGACAGGTTGTCATGACATGTTTTAAGCAAGACATTATCACTCACTAATGCTGAATCAATTTTAGCTTGGCAAGTGGGTATGCGTTCTTTCAACTTTTCAATTTTCTCCCTTTGCCTCTGCAATTGCCCATCCACATCATACACCCATGACCAAGCAAGCTTTTTCTTTAGCAGCTGCACCTCTTGTGATATCTGTTCTACACGCTTTATGTTTTCAATCTTTTCTTGCAGCTCACTCAGTTCAAGCTGTATTGGTCTTATCAAATTCTCCAATTCGTCAACAAGAGCATATGCATCCTTCAATTGTTTGATAATACTTTGTAAAAGCTCATCAACTTGTTGAAGAAGCGTAGCCTTAAAAAAGAACTGAGTGATAAAAAGTGTCAGAATTATGCCCATATGATTCTTTTCGGAATAAAAAGTTGTAAGTTGGTAAATATTACCTTGAATTTATCTTTGTCATTCCCAGAGTGCAAAAACTCCCTGCTTTTGTCTTGGCTCATAATAACACATGGATTCTCAACATCAATCTACAGGTGGTAGAGTGCAAATTTTCAAATATCAGAGTGTAATTCAGCTCACAACAAAGTATTATTTTCAATAAAAGTAAGGAGAAATCGAAAGCCAAATGACAGTCAATACTTGTCAAACATGGGAAGATATTAAAGTAAAAACACAAGCAAACAACTTCAGATAGTAAGGTGTTCTATCAAAAATTTTCATCAATGTGATACAACGCCATCTGACAATTAAAGAACTTAAGATGTCACATCTTAGATCAAAAGGAATAAACTAAAAAAGGTGAGGAGAGGAAATGTTAGACCATTATCAGAAAACAGATTTACACTACTGCAAAACACATGTTGACTTTCATAAGTGACTTTCACACATCAAAACAGCCACAAGGTCAAAAAGCTGGTCCAAGAGAACAGGAAAGAAAAATTAGAGGGGAAAATCTGAAGAAAGGGAAAGTGAATTAGCATAAAAAGTAATCATCAGCATCTTGAGTAGAAAAGAGGTAAAGAAAGGGCAAAGGCGATCATCACAAGCCAATGTCACAAAGTAGATATCGACAGTCTCCACAAGGAAGACAAACATCCACGAAGAAAATTCAAAAGAAAGTTATCCAATAAAAGGAAATAAAAGATTAGAGAAAAACTTTAGACTATCACATTCAAAAATGAAAATGAATACTAACTTAGGAATAAGCAGATAGAAAGCTACATCAACATATTAATAAAAGGCCTTAACATTTTTCAACCTGGAAATACCACAAGAATACACACCTACCACCAACAAATTAAGCAGCAAGAAACTAATGACAGACAATATAATATCAACAAATTAAGCATTAAGTACCTAATGACAGACCATATAGTATATAGAAAACAACAAAATGCTGCAGGTATGAAAGTAAAGCATACTTGTTAGGTCAAACACTCACATTGAAATGTTCAACCAGCTCACGAAGGTCCTCTTTGCGACTAGCAACTTTTTTACCTGTCCATGCCTCAGATGTAAAACAAGATCAAACGAATATGATAATTGCTTTAGCACCACGTTTGCAACCAAGACAAAAAGAAATAACACGAAACTAAACAACAGACACTCATGACACATAATTTATACTCCAATACAAATACAACATTGGGCATTAAAGAAAATCTTGGGTCACCGGAGTATTAAAGCAAAATGATAACACGACTAAATGATTCAAACCTTGACGATCCTTCAAAACAGTGGAGCTAGTAGAGTCAGAAATCCTGCGTTCTATAATTATGGTATCACCATATATCTCTGGCTTAAAAGCATCCACTCCTTCATTTTTAATTTCCACTTGCACTATAGCATAACTGGGAATTAAAACCATATATCAGATTATCCCTAATTTTTCAAAAGAAAGAAAATAAACCAATAATAATAATAAATAGAACCTGCAACCAGTTTTTATAAATTCTTTCAATTTAGAAGCCCTTTGAGTATCTTTAGCGCGGGATCCAAACGCAATACATAAAGCTGTCAGTATTGCACTCTTACCGCCTACAAACACATAATATTACAAAATTACTCACAGAAGAAAAAATCGTATAAATTTCTACGAAAGTAACGAACACAAGTTCAAACACGCAAAATAGAGAGAGGCAGCGACGCACTTCCATTTTGACCGGCGATGAAATTAACCCACTCGCCGAGTTCGATTTCGAGACTGCTATGGCACATGAAGTTCTCTAACCGGATCCTCTTAATAGTACCCGCCCCGGATCGTTGAGCACCATAGATTTGATCTGATGAAACCCTAGATACACTCATTTTTGTATCCTTAGGGTTTCCCTAGAATTTTGAAAGACGGAAATAGAGAGAGAAACAGAAAGTAAAAGTTGTGAAAAGAAAGAAGTGACAGTGCATGAGCCGCGAGTCGAGATTCGGGAGTGTTTAATGCGGGAAAAGCAAATTATACTGTGCGACTCGGTTCACGACGATGAAAAACGGCCGTCTTGATGTTTTGGTTTTCTTTATAGCAGATTCATAGAAAATCGAGGCCGTATATTCTTTAAGTCGGTTTAGATAAAGTTCGTATTAATAATATTTTTACTATATGGGCCCATGTCCGGTCTAATATGTCTAGCCCAATTAAAATTAACTGACTTTACTTATTTCGAAGAAATTATTAATTAATGTAAATTATGAATTTTGAGAACATGAGACGATTTTTTGAAAAGATTAAAAAACTCCAAATTTTATTATTAAAATTATTAAACTTGAAATCCCATAGGTATTTATTTTTATTATTAGATTTAGGCTAAAAAATATTATAAAATATAAATTAAGCTCGACTTAGTTTGATTTCAATTATTATAATTATCTCAAAAAACAAAATAAAATTCAATCAAAGGTTAAATTTAAAACTAAAATAAAATTTGTAAATTTTCTAATTTAATTACATTGTCATTTAAATTTTGTAAGACAATGATCCGTGATTATTAAATCGAAATTTGTATAATGGATTAAATATTATTTTTAGAGTCTTGTATTAAGTATTGTACGATTAAAAAAATAAATTAATTATAAATAATATATGTAAAATAAATTAAAAATATAAATTTTATATTTATTGAATAATTTAATAATTATGTGGCATAAATAAAAAAAGATGCGGTTGTTTTTCAAGCTCTCACTATATTCCTTAATAGTATATATTTTTAAATGAAACTTTTTGATGTATTTTTCATGTTTATTTACTATCAAAAGTTAAAAAAAAAATGAAAATTCCAAATCTTGTAATTTGCACTTGTATTAAACATGTTAAAAACTAAATTCGAATATTTTTAATGAATGAAAACGAATTAAGTAGCATGGCCCGTTTATACGATTAATTCAAATGAAAACAAATATAAATATTTTTGTACTTTACCACACACGATCTACTATCTTTGTAAAGATTTCTTCGGTAAATGAACTAAATCTTATAATAATTAAGTTATTACTGTAATCAAGCAATGAGAGTGTGTATATATATAAATATATATATATGTTTTTGAAAACACTACTAAATGATTAGCAGTAGTGTAATTTATTAATAAAGTACTTGATTAAATTTTAAAAGTCAGATTTTAGTATATTTTGCTCGATTTATTATAATAATTTTTAATATATTATTAAATTAATATTTGTTTGAATTAAATGTTAAAATAATATGTACCGTTAATATAAAATGATAATTTAAAAAAATTAATATTGTTAATTGCTAATTCCAAAAAAATTGGACAATAAAATTAAATAAATAATGAAAAAACTTTCTTAAAGTTGTTGCAAAATTAAGCAAAAAATGTTAATTGTATATTTTCAAGCTTCAAAATGATCAAAAAAAAAATAATTGCTAAAAATAAAGTGTAATAAAATGTATACTACCTAGTAGCTAGAGAAGTATTTTAATTGTACATTGTTTTATGAAGTCGAGAATAATCACCGATCACCAAAAAGATCTATTGTAATTGTAATAGATAATTATTTTGAAAGTATTGTATGCGATCATAGCAAAAAGAATTATCGTCAACTTACAAATAATTATCGATAAAAAATATCAGTTTTAAGAAAAAAAATTCACATTCATAACTGTAGATTTTTGTACTAGATCTTTATGATTTTCCCAACATACTTGTTAAGCCTCCAAACACAGAAAAAGCCACCCTCAATAAAGCATTGAAAAGACTCCAGCAGTGAGTATTTCTAAACTTAGCTTCATATGCTTTTCTTATTACAAACCCATGTCTACAAAACTGCTCTGAAAGAAGTTCACAAATTCTTGGAGTGCCTGAAATTACAAAATTTGCATGTAATTTTTTCTTTTTTTTTTTGTCAAAATGGACCTAAAATTCCTAAACATCAACTTCTTTCACAAGGAATTAGTCTTATATATAATTATAAAAGAAATTTCCAAATCAAAATTTCATGAAAATTTCTAATTTTCTTCTATATTTAAGACTTAACGTTACCAAAAATTAAAAAAAGTATAAAAAGTTAAGTCATAAAAACATGAATGAAATATAACAACCTCGTATTATCTTGCGAGTAACGAGAACTACACAAATTTAGCAATCACATGATCGACCTAGATTAACACATTGTATTATTCAAATTTAACCATTTTATTATTCCTAATGAAAGCAATAAGAAGGTGTCAAAGGACAAGAACATACCAAAAAACTAAACCAACTCATTCCAAATGTTGTTCTATTGAAAATTTTACATGCAGGTTGAAGCTAAAGGCATTAGGTTTAACTTTAAAGAAGGGTGATTTTGAGCACATCCCAAGCACAAACTCGACCCCAAACCATCATCGATATCACACATCTCTTATTCTTTGTCTTTATCTTTCTTATCTAAAAAAAAAAAAAAACTCACTTTTCCAAAGTAAAACCAAAAAAGTTCTCAATTTTTCACCTTCTCCTTTTTGGGTTTTCTCCCTTTTGTGTTTGGATTTTGACAAAATTCAAAATGAAAGATAATATGGGTAGAAAATGTCTTGAGTTTTAGCAGCCCAAAGTGTCATTTTGGTGTAGTAAAACAGTTTTTAAAAAAATGAAACATCAATAGTAAAAAAAATACTTGTCGCAGTTAGAATCCTTAAGAGATTCTTTTTATAAATAGTAATATTGATGGCAATTGTGAGTACAAAAAAATACTACTAAAAAGCAAATGAAAAGAAAAATAGTAGGAAGTTGAACTATTTGTTCAAAGATAGAGATGTCAACTTTATCCGTACCTAATGTAAAACTCAATTTTTTACCCGAATGAGGATAGGGATAAGTATTACATTATAGGTGCATGGATGGGGATGGGTACAATTTTAAATTTTTATTGTATACATTGATGGAAATGGATATTATAATACATTACCTGTACCCGTACCCTATATATATATATATTCATATATATTTAGTATATAGATTTTTTATTAAACAATATAAATTATTATTTTAGATTAATTAAAATTAATAATTTTATTTTTATTGAAAAATATATTAATATATATTTATAAAAATTACCTCAATATACAAGATAAAAATAAAAAATAAAAAAAATTAGTTTTTATTTTTTTAAAGCTATGAATATTGGGATTACTCATACTGATTAAATACTCGTGGGGATTGACATAGAGATAAATTTAAAATACCCAATTGGTATAAGTACGGAGATAAGTATAACATAAAAATCTGAGAAAGGGGATAGAAAATATTCCAACCTACTCGTACCCTACCCATTGACATCCCTACTCAAGGAAAAAATAATTAATTATATTTTTTGTACATAAATTTTAGAAAAATATACATATTGGTATGTAAAGAAATAAAATATACAATTTGCATTTAAAACTTTTAAAAAATGTATTGTTTTAATGCAAATTTTAATATTATTAACTTAACTCGCCTATATAACATCTAATCAGTATAATTTTGTTATATGCATATTATTTATTAATAAAAATATTAATTTTTTTTGTAAAAACCTTGATGTGGATGTTACATGACAAAAACAATTGATGGTTTTACATATTTTTTATGGTTCAAGTAAATTAAAAAATATTTTTTTATTTTTATTAAAAAAGATGTTGATAGTATGCATAGTGAACATATAACTTAATTATATTTGTCAACCGCCTTATATATAAGTTAATATAGTTAATGGGATTAGCGTTTAGGTTAATATAATGCATAATTTTAAAATAAAATATGTAAATTATATATCATTTAAAAGCTCAACTATAAGATTACATTTTTTTAAATACTAATTTATATATCTATAACACATATAAAACTTGTCCCCAATATATATTGAAAGGACAGCTAAGTAATGGAAAAAAATAAATTAAAGGTTAATTTTAGGAAAAAGTTTCTTCAGAAGCTTCTGGAGAAGCTTCAAATGAAAACTTCACCAAAAGAAAGTTTGTGGAAAACCAAAGAAAAGAAAGGAAAAGAATCAAAGCTTGGCCAAATCATAACCAATCTCATGGCCAGTGTGATTCTTCTCTTGTTTTCAGTGGCAGAAATCATCTCGCCAATAGTGATGCCTCAAAAGACATCTTTTGGTAACAAAGTTAAAGTTTTTTTCTTTATTTTTTGAAATTGATCATTTTTTTGTTTCTTTTCCTTCTAACATAACATAGAAAGAAAAATCCATGAAAATGGTGACAGAAAAACCAAAACAAACACCATAAGTTTCAAAGCAAGCAAACTTAATTGAAAATGGCCAAAATTTTGATAATTTGTTTTGTCCTAGATTCAAATCCGTGACGACCATGGTTGGTTGAGATGAGAAAGCCTACATCATTGCTGCTATGGTCATCAAAAACACCCATAATCGACAATTAAACACAAGAAATGCTCTAATTTTATTTTCAAGACTCCAACTTCCATCACTTCAATAAGGTAGTAATTATTTTTTTCTTTTGCTTTTTAATTTATTTCTTCATGGTTTTGTTTTTCAGGAAACAAAGAGCTCAAAGAAATCTTGTTTCAACCCTTATTGCTCCATTAAATCTCGATGAAGAAGAGACTTCAAAGAAAAGTAATTAAAATTGATTTTTGTGAAAAGTATTATAAAAGTAAATCATAAATAAATCAAATTGATTAGAAATCAACAAAGTCTCATGTTGCAATTTGGATGAAAGGTAGTCAGACCTAAAAAATTAAAATTCTCAAATTATTATATAAACATATCTAATTAGAAACTTGAAGCTAATTCGGGCTCATATATCCATTAATTTTTAATTACCAACTTTTTTACATTATTATTTTCATGATACCTTTAACCTGTTTTAAATGTGCATTTATGAATTGCTTGGATTCTGCAATTAAAATGGGAAAATTGTAAAAATTTGAGATGATAGGAGTCAACCTTCATTTTATTTTCAGATGGTAAATTGATTCAATTTTTCGTTTGATTTGATCAGTGATAGATTTAAGATTTTTTTATGCTAATCTTTTATCAGTTTTTATGTTTGATGTGGAAATATTTTACTTATAATTTTTTATTATAAT